ATCTTATATATATAAAATCTAATGTCAGATTTTTGTCCGCGATGGACGCCGAAACTACTGAACCGAATTTTATGAAATTTGGCATAAATGTGCGATTAGGTCTAACTTAGAACATAGGATAGTTTTTATTTTGATTGATGGCCTTATTTATTTTTTATAATATAAAATAAATAAATATAAATAATTATTTTCTCATAGATGGCGTTATGAAACGGTATTAAAGTTATGTAAGTGTCCAATAGATAGCGCCTGTCCACGTGTATTTTCTTTCAATAATTGTAATTGTAATGACAATAGAACGATCAAGAATCTTCGCGACGGATAGGCAACCAAAATACATATATGCACGAATATTCTCGATCGGCCATAAAAAGAATATTCTAGACCCACTACACACTATAAAACGGCGCAACATAATTATAACGATATATATTTTGTGTTTGTAATAATTTGTGATCTCTGCTAAGACACGTTAATTTTTTTGTAAATTTTGCGTATATATTACTGAATAACATCGCGCAAATTGATTTGGATATTGATTAAGTAAGTTCGACTTTATTTCTTTTTATCTTTTGTATGTATTTAATTATTAATTGAACATATTTATATTTATTTTAAAAAAAAATTATCATAGTTCAAATAATACTTATAATAGTAGTATTATAAGTATTATTATAATAATTTTATGTTATTTTTTCATCGTAACCGGTTCGAAATTTATTTATTTAATATTTTTGTAGTAAAATGCCACCGAAAAAATCGAACCTTTCCGCGAGTAGTAGAGAGGCACGGCGCAAACGTGCAAAAAGAAGTTTTCGGTCAGCACAGCAACATGAAGAACATGAAAGACAGCGAACCAGTCGCGAATTACAACTTGGATCATTTGTTCGTCTTGCCTTTGAATATGCACCGGATATTAATTACTCTGCGCATTCTTTAATTTCCATCGGTGAAATGAACAAAGTATGCCAATATTGTCAGGCGTTGAAATTCCCCAATGAAACACCTGGACTGTGTTGCGCATCAGGAAAAGTTGTACTGGAGCCGCTTCCATCTCCGCTGGAACCTTTACAATCACTTCTTGCTGGCCAATCTGATGATTCAAAATTATTTTTGAGCAAGATTCGTAAGTTTAATTCTTGCTTCCAAATGACGTCTTTTAGGGCAACAAAAATTTGTGATCTCACATCCGATGGTAATTACTTCGAATCTACATTTAAGATACAAGGTCAGGTTTATCATCAAATTGGGTCATTGATGCCGATGCCTGATACTGAACCGAAGTTTCTGCAAATCTATTTTATGGGAAATTGTGAAGAACGCGTATCAACCCGCTGTGTTCATAATTTTATTGAACGAGCAGATGAGAGAGCAATTGTGGAATCATTGGAAATTTTTTTAGAAAATCGAAACCAACTTATTCAGTTGTTCAAACGTGTATCGCCACAATTATTAAACGACAACTATCAAATTGTTATTAAGGCTGATAGAGTACCATCAGGAGAGCATGCTGGAAGGTTCAACGCGCCCACCGTAGACGAAGTAGCAGTTATTATGGCCGGTGATCCAGCTGACAGCCGAGCCATCAAAATTACACGTCGAGACAACACCATAAGCATAATTTCAGACACTCACCGTTCCTACGATGCACTACAATATCCGCTGATATTTTGGGCAGGACAGGATGAATATCACATTAATATTAAACAGCGTAATTCAACTACTGGTAAAATATCAAATTAAATATTTTTTGCCTATTTTTTATTTTTATTTTATGGTATTAATATTTCAATTTTTGATTATATTAATTTTTTTTATATAAAATTGAAATTCATTTCTAATTTTTCACATTTTTATTTTTCATTAAATTAATTTCACTAAAATATATTTATTAGAAAAATTAATTTTGTATTTTTAAATTTTTTTTTTCAATTAATTCCATATAAATTTACTTAAAATCAATTAAAAATGTTCACACTTTTTTTTTAATTTTTAATTATTAATGCTTAATTTATTATGAATTTTTAGGTCGTGAAACAAACAAAAAAGTTAGTTCAATGAACTACTATGCCCATCGATTGATGATAAGACGTAATCAGGATAATTATATTCTTCGATATCGCCAGCTATTCCACCAATATGTTGTCGATATGTACGCAAAGATTGAAAGTGAACGTTTGCGATATATTCGATTCAATCAGGCTAAATTAAGATCAGAAGAATACATCCACTTACGAGATGCTATTAATGGACATGTCGATGAACAAATAAATATAAACGATATAGGTAATGCATTTATTTTACCCTCGAGTTTTATTGGTAGTCCACGGCACATGCAGGAATATACACAAGATGCAATGACTTATGTACGTCATTACGGCCGTCCAGATTTATTTATTACATTTACATGTAATCCGAAATGGGAAGAAATAAAAAATCTGCTATTACCAGGCCAACAATCGACACATCGTCATGATATTACTGCGCGCGTGTTCAAACAAAAATTAAAATCATTGATGAATTTCATTGTGAAATATTCGGTTTTTGGTGAAGTACGTTGCTGGATGTATTCAGTCGAATGGCAAAAGCGCGGTTTGCCCCATGCACATATCCTGATTTGGCTTGAAGATAAAATCCATCCAGAAGAAATTGATCAAATAATTTCTGCCGAAATTCCAGATCCATCAATCGATCAGGAATTATTTCATATTGTTACCAGTCACATGATTCACGGACCCTGTGGTGTTTTCAACATGATATCTCCATGCATGGAGGATGGAAAATGTAAAAAAAAATTCCCAAAACAATGTATTAATGATACTATTACAGATATTGACGGTTATCCATTGTATCGACGTAGAAACGCTGAGAATGGTGGCCACACATTCACGATGCGAATGTCAAATGCTATCGAAGTTGAAATCGATAATCAATGGGTGGTACCATACTCACCACTACTTTCAAAAACATACAAAGCTCATATAAATGTTGAGTTTTGTAGTTCTGTGAAGTCTATAAAATACATTTGCAAATACGTTAACAAAGGCAATGATTTGGCAGTATTCGAAGTTCAAAATGTAAATAAAAATGATGAAATAACACAGTACCAAATGGGTAGATATATCAGTAGTAATGAAGCTATCTGGCGCATATTTAGTTTTCCTGTACACGATAAAGAGCCAGCTGTGCAGCATCTTGCTGTACATCTTGAAAACGGACAACGTGTATATTTCACTAAAGAAAATATTTTCCAACGAGCACTTCAGCCACCGAAAACAACACTTACTGAATTTTTCACATTGTGTCAAAAAACCGATGTTTTTGGCCAGTTCGCACGCACACTATTGTATACAGAAGTTCCACGTTATTTTACATGGAAC